AATGTGTTCTCGGCACATGCAACCCACTTTGCGCCCAAGTCTCGAAGGCTTAGCAAATAGAGGCGACGATTTAGCGCCGGTGTGACTCACGCAGTTCGGGTTGCGAAGAGATTTCACCTTCAATGGGCGTGGGAAGGGGATATACGGTGTTCCATAGCTCTTAAAGGAACGAGAATCGGGGGAAAACCTAAACTGTAACAAGGCAGCTGCGGGAGATGAATAGCAGTGCCCCAAATGGCACTGATGATTCAACAGTTACGAAGAATCGGGAAAGGATGTCGAGATGTGCATGCATTTTACAACGTTCAGACTGGGGATCTCTTGAGTCGCAGTCCACATTCTTTGAAGTCGGGGGTGCACAATCCTTCTTGCTTCCCATCATCGCAAGAATAATGCATTTTGCTTTCGAGTATTAGAACTGTTAACGTTTCACACATTTCGGTGACCTGGAACCGACCTCTAGTTCATCCGGACCTTTAACGGTATACAGTTGATACGTGGGCTTATCACGTAGCTTTTAAAGCATTAGCGTTCCTTTTAAGGGCTGGAGGGAACCACGGAAACGGCAAGCCATTGAGAAGATTAGCCCGTGTTCAGGCGCGCAACGCATGCAGCGAATGCCGATGGAGAGGAGCTTGGAGCCCTTTTATCGCAGCTGCCCCAAGGTTGCGCATAAAGTTCCTGCAGCGAGGCGCTCTGGCGCGACGATCGCAGTGCTCGCCGAGCGGCGGAAGGCTGCTCATCCGCCGGCACGCATCGTTGTCCCAGGTTTACGGACTTCCGGCGTCGCTTCCGGACAGCACGCGGAAACTCGTGGCCAAAGAGGCGCGCGCCAGAGGGTATACAGAGGGGGAGAACCCGGCGACAAAGTAATGAAATTGCCCGCAGGACCAGAAAAACGAGGCTATGAGCGTTCATGCTCGCCTGGGCTGGCTGTCACTCCTTTTTCACCCTGACCATGAGCCACGCGTACGTCGGCATTTTGTGTGCAACAGAAGAAGAAAAAAAGAATAATGATGTGGTACATGCGATAACGAAGCTTCAGGAGTGGTCCCTGTATTATTTACGTCACGTATGGTGGCGCTTAAAAAGTAGTTTGTGCTCGAATTACCCAGATCTTTTTTTACGCTTTTACGTCGCGGCCATATCATCAACACAATTCGACGAGTGTGTTGCTTGATTACCTCACCTCACGTGCTACTTTGCAGCAATTTCGCAATGAAAATAGCAGTTATTTGCGCACGCACCACATGAAGGCTTACTGCCTTGTCAGAACAGTAGAGTGGCCTAACAAGTTCATAATGCTTGCTTTCAAGCTCCGTGTGAAAGGGAGAAAGTGCTCTGTGAAAGCTAGAGGTGTCAGTCATTGGTTGCATTGTTTAATACCATCGCCCGTTGAAAGCGTCACAAATGATGCTGCCGATCGGCTGGTTCGGGATAGGCTGTCATGCTATCCCTCAATCAATATGTATCGAGATGTCACCTTCGCAGAAGATCTGCTGTGTGCGTTTACATATGGTGACTTCACTTCTTTGCAGATCTGCAATGTTCAACAAGAGCTGATGGTGCTATTTCAAAGACATCGCCTGCGAAGCATGCATCTATACGATAACGGGGGAGCGCAACGAGGAAGGTGTCTTTTTTCATCTATGCTGTCAATGTTAGACATGTAGGAACAGCGACTGTACGTCCTTTATAAGGGCAATGCAACGCTTTTCAGCGGATTCAGAAAACACTGCTGATCAGTCTTTGCGACTCTTGAGAGCACGTGAGCCAAACAATAAAGCGCAGAATCCTGCATGGAATTCACAATTAGTTCTCGAAGTAAGGTAAAACTCCCTCCCTCTTCTCTCTACAAATGATGTTCATTTGGGCAGCTTTCTGGTCATACGGATGTTGATATTGAAACGTTGTGGGAGATTTTTGAAGAACTTGTATCGTACAGCATTTCTCAGAGCACACCTGCTAAAACAAGGAAAGAAAAGAAATTCTATCCATGAACAGATAGTGACGTTATTTCTGCAAGTAAACCACCTCAGAAAGTCTTTAGAACAATAATATAATCCCATAGATAGTAAGAACCTCACGGAAGCTTTGAGTTCATTGAAGTCTCAAATTAAAGCAACTAAAAATTGCTATTAGTTTTACACTTTACCCAGTTCTCTAAATGATGCACTTCTACAATTTTAGAGTAAATCCCGCTACCCTACGAAAAAAGTAAATCAAAAACAGCACAATGTCTCCAGAAGAAAGCACAGATCAAGCCGATTCGTTCAACAACTACTTTCATTCAGCTTTCACTACAGACAGCACCATCCCACCACCTCTCGAAATCGCTATCGTGAAGCCCATTGAATCTCCCCGCTTAAATGAATCATACTTTTGCTGTGATAGTAGACCAGCGCTTGTGAATAACTCAGTTAGCGAATCAACCAAAGTGTACTCAAAACGTTACTGCCTTTCTTTGTACACCTTCTAGTTTTTTTTAATTTGACCTATTGCTAAAAACAGAGATAAAGAAAGAACCAGAGTTTGATAATATGGAACCTATCGGTGTTTTACAGACACTGGCGTTGCGTTGGCTTCCGGTTCTGTGTGCCGGCGTAGCCTAGCAGTATTGGTGAGGCACAGAAGCCTTAACGAGTAGCCTGTTCATTTTCAATAGTTTTGTTTCTGTGCCTGGTCAACTATTTCAAATACAGTTTATTGTAAGCTAGAATACGACATTACAAGAGTTAGTCCTTAATTCAGAATGCCCCCCTTTTACCTTAAAGCGGAAAACGAGTCTTTACTTACTCTAGCACAACTGGAAACACACGACTTCTGTTTCGGTGTTCGAGAGTAATAAATGCAGTAACCGAAATTCTCTTGGGTAGCAACACGTGCTGCTGTTATTACTATGTTAAAACCGACCAAAAAGGCGAATACGGAATGAATTTCCCACCAGTTACGCCGAATAAATAACCAAATATCCGTTTATTATCATTAACATGTTTTAGCGAAATGTTCACTATCAAACGAGTGGAAAGAAGGATAGTTGATACCAATTCACAAATCGGGCAGTGAAGTCGACGTCGCTAGTTATAGCCCGATAAACTTGAGAATCACACTTCATATAATTCTTGAATACATTATTCTTAAACATACAATTATTCATTTTCAAAACAAACATATTTGTCATCATATCAGCATGGGCTTCATAAAAGCTTTTCCACCGTTACGCAACCAACCGAGCTATTACATGAATTGTCATCGACATGGACTCTCAAAAGCAGACTGACCTTATTTCACTCGACTTTTCAACAGCGTTTGACAGAGCTTCACAACAAAAGCTCATAAAAAGACTGCGGGCGACAATAGGTAAAGCGCCGGTGACGAACTGAATTAGCACATATCTGACCAAACGAACGTAGTTTGTAAAAATAAGTGAGCCAACATCAGAACTAAGGGATATTACATGAAGTAGGGCAGCGTTTCAGCTCCTGTTCTAGTCTTTATTTTAGGGCCGAAGCACCTTAGGGGTGGGGTTTGTCTATCCGCGTGCACGGTATCTGATGTGACAGGAAGATGCGTGGATGTAACACACGCGAAAAAGGTTTAGCAATGAACTAATGTCGATCATAATTGTGACAGAACAATGTAAGATACACGAACCCGTTATACTAATAGGCGACTTCATCGTACATACCATGGACCTTGGGACCTACCTTTGTCGTCGACTCTCACTGTGCGCTGTCATTGTGTTTGGAAAACCGTTGCTATAGTCGAAACATGTACGTGTAGGTGAATAAAAATATGTTTGCAATAGACGAATGAGAATTCTAATTTTGACAGAACAATTTAAAACACATAAAACACAAACCCTTTATATTAGTCAGTGACTTCAACGTAGACATTACGCACCTTTGAACCTAGGTTTGTCATCGACTGTTTATGTCGCTTTATGTCACTCAATTTACATTATATGAGGCAACGCTGGGGCAGTGCATGGTTACTCACCCGTACGCTACCCAGAGCTTCGCCCACTCGTCATGAGTTACTTCGTGGAGGTGCATGAATTTATTTCGTTCACGATTAACCTCAATCTATTAGAACAAACATAGTTTTTCGTTGAATATTGTCATTTACAAAGAACTAACTCTTCTTATGTCATGTTGTTCTCGCCAGTGCCCTAATACCACTGTAAGATATGTGCTCATCAAAATGGCAGACGACCTTAAACGTTAAGTATATTAATCTGCGTTTTTATGAAAACCTGTAAACAAAACATATCACATTTTACCAACACTATTGACGACACACATATAACTTTCCTCAAACAGCATAACTATCTTGAACTAATGATTTCTAGTGACCTTAGATGGGAGGCGCATGTTAACTACTTTGGATCTTCAGCTTTAACGAGTATATTTTCTTTCATAAAAAATGATTGTGATCTGCACCAGCTCAAACAAAACTCTTTGCCTTTAGAACCTTCATTCGGCCATTGATTGAATACGCTAATTAAGTCCGATTCGCAGCCACAAATACCTTAAAATAGCATGAAGCAATACACTGAAAGGCGGTCAGGTTCATCTGCAACAAATAGTGTGCTTGATTCACTCACTGAATTAATCGCAAGAGTTGGGCTACTGCCCCGCCGCGGTGGTCTATTGGCTAAGATATACTCGGCTGCTGGCCCGCAGGTTGCGGGTTCGAATCCCGGCTGCAGCGGCTGCATTTCCGATGGAGGCGGAAATGTTGTAGGCCCGTGTGCTCAGATTTGGGTCACGTTAAAGAACCACAGGTGGTCGAAATTTCTGGAGCCCTCTACTATGGCGTCTCTCATAATCATATGCTGGCTTTGGGACGTTAAACCCCACATATAAATCAATCAATCAAATCAAGAATTAGGCTACTAACATTACGTAATTACGCTAAACTAGCACACCTGAAAATTATCGTCCAACTTATTCCCAAACAGCTAAATATCTACAGCTCTAGATTCATATCTATTCCAGAGAGCAGACAGTCACACCACAAGCATTCATTGACTTTACAAGAACACCGTTGCAACACCAACCGATTCAACTATTCTTTCCACAGTAAATCAGGTAAGTGAATAGATTATCCGGCTTTATAACTAATAGTAACGATTGAATACTTTTTAAACTTTACTTGATAACCATATTCGTGCCAACCACAGTTGAATTGGTGTGTTTTCCCTTTCTCACTTACTTGTACAATTCTTGAGTGCCATTTGAATATGATAATTATATCATTGCCATACGTGGCAAATTTTCTTTTATGTTTATTAGGGACAATTATCTGCATGTTGTTGAAAGGGTCCGCTATGTATCATGTATGCGTTCTAAATGTTTTTAACTACGTAGCGTATGTTCTCGTACACACCATGGGATATTGCAAAAGATCTGTAGTCATGAATTTTCTCTTTTTCAATGTAATTATCTCTTGTCTATTTTGATTGCCCTCCTACAGTAGTCCTCATTCGGAAAGCCGGTATCCAAAACAAACAAACAAATTACTTAATTAATATTACATAAATAAATATACGCCATATACTCAAGTGACCACGCCAAATACCCAAACTGACGGCAAGTGGCCGATTCGTTGGCTGCGTAGTTACTGCAACCGCCGCGGGAGGCCGCCACCAGCATGCTTGCGTCCGCCCGTCAGCTTTCTGATGGTCAGCCAAGCGTTCAAATAAAATAAAGAGTGCTCAGGGTGCTACGCGTTACGTTACGCGTGCGTAACTTTCTTTCTCCGTGTCATGCCTCCTGCTTAGCTTCCAGCGTGCTCACCGGGACGAGAGAAGAGAGAATGGAAGTAGAGCGTGCGACAAATATCCTAAACTCCGCTCGTACTTGTATACAAAGTTCTTTCAGTGGCCGATTCTTGAGGCGATAAATTCATTTAGTGAAGCAACGCGATGGCTGCTTGTAAAAGTGTTTGTTGCAGGGCACCTTTAAGCATGTCCGCAGTAGAGTGCAGCGAAAAAGTTTATGTAACCATCAACCACCTAACTTCACATTACATAGAAAACGCCCCACGGCGATGGTTGGATGCGGCGATAAGCGTAGTGGTTACTTCCTTAAGTGACCGAGTGGCGCATCACCATCAGAACAGCGTCCAAGCTCATGGTAGCAATTGCGGTATGCGTTGTTCGCTGGACGCCATACATTTAGCGGAAGTAAAGTAATGGGTTGGGATTAAAAACCGATACAGAGCGGATTGCTTTTACATCAGGAATTCTTTATATACTCTGAATGCCTTCCTATTCCCCTACAGTATTTTCTATTGCCGTCTACAAAATACGTGTACATACACGCCAATTCTTTCACTATTTATGGGGTGTGAATCTTTGTCTAAAGTAACAAACACAAGACGTGAGCCTTAACATCATTCGCTGTGACCAAGTTTTCAAATGAAAGCACCATTTATTATGCAGCTTAGACGATTTAGGGTATAACTATATATACCAGACTGGTATTCCATCTCAGTGTGGCGCTTACCCTATCCACAGTCCCCGGGAAAAAAAGTATGCACTTTGTAAGTAACACTTTGCACGCGGAAGGGCATGTAATTGATTCTCGCGTCAAGTAACTGTGAATTCCAATACTTTAATTCGTCCTTGTGTCTCAGCGGCTTTTACGTTCTGATGTTATTCACGACAATGCGGGTTCGACTGCAGGCCGCATTTTGTCGAGGAGGGGGAGGGGGTAGCAGAATGCTAAAGTATTCATGTACTTATAGTTTTGGTCGCAATTAAGCCGAAACGCTGCACTATGACGTCATTGTGTGATTTCGGATAGTTAGACCCAACAATTTATAATATAAGACATTGTTTACCTGGTCGCCTCATACTTGGGCATCTCACACTATACACACCGTACATAATAAGTGCCACGAAAGAGAAATTATTATTACGCTTACTATTTAAGCTCCTATATGGTTTGGTGTTTATGGCACTTGACTGCTAACCCAAAGGTCGCGGGATCGAGTCCAGGCTGCGGCGGCTGCATTTCCGACGGAGGCGGAAATGTTTCGTAGTGTGTCTAGATTTAGGTGCACATTACAGAACCCCAGGTCGTCGAAATTTCAGGAGTCCTCCTTTATGGCGTTTGTCATAATCATACGGTGGTTTAGGAATGTTAAACCGAAGATATTATTAGTATGACTAGTTTTCCTTTCGACGTGGTTTGTCTCTGGCCGAAATATAAGCGCTATCGTTCGGCGCAGGCCAAGTCATATTGTTGATTTATTGATATGTGGTGTTTAACATCCCAAAATCACTATATGATTATGAGAGAAGCCGTAGCGGAGGGCTTCGGAAATTTCAACCACCTGGGAGTCTCTCTTCTATCTAACTGGTTATAAGGTTGTATCTTAAAAGGTTTCTCATTTTAGGGCAGAACAAACATTTACTTGATAACATGACTGTCAAATTATATGAACGACGCATAAAAAAATGAATGACGGGACGATAGCCGCCACGTAGCAGTCAATCCGGAAAATCGGTCGCTTTCCCTGCCCCTTTGCCGCGGCCATTTCCCTTCGTACTTTGCCAAAATTCTCAGGGCTAGAAGCCGTGTAACTTGGGACGCGGCAGCGCCGTCATATAGTCGCTTAGCTTGCAGGCCATCACGCGCACAGCATGGGCCCTACTGCGGCAAATCCCGATGATGTGGCCCGACCACGCATACGTGTTCGCGCCGGTGGCACACGAACTGTGGGACGTCCACTCTGCAAGCTGGCAGCACGCCTCCCGGACGCCGGCTGCGTTCGAGATTAAACGGGCGGGCAATTAATCGGAACGGTGCGCCGCAAAAGGCCGGCCGTAAATCTGCTCGCCGCGCCGAGACAGCGCTGGCAGCAGGCACTACGTCGCGTCACCGTCGTCGCGCTGCGTCGTCGTGGCTCTCGATAAGCGATGATTGAACGCGCCCGCACCACAGCTCCGCTGCATTTGTATTAATTAGGTGGCTGCGTCGATTGTGCAGGTTGTACGCCGGCGCGAGAACGCGGGCTCGCCATACATAAGTGCGCGCGTGAATGACCTTTCGGTAGCAACGTTTAGCAAGAAAAAGTGATAAAGAGCAAGCAGCGGCTTTTTCTCGTCGTGAATGATAAAGTTTATTCTCTACCGGGGGCCGTGCCACAAACTGGACTCAACAAGAAAGTATTCCCAGTGATTACAGTGATGCGGAAACTGATAGCATCTTAGTTTGAATGTCGCTAAACACATTAGGTCCACATTGGTAGCTCATGTTATATTTTAACAGTTAAGGAGTGCTCCCTCTCCTGCTTTCATGCGTGGTACGCTGGTAACCTTGGGGAATACTTTGCATTTCATCCGTTTCTAAATGCAAGCATGGTTGTCTTTCACATGTTTGGTGTTCAAAGACTGCCATATTCTTTAAGTAATAAATAAGAAAATTAATTTTAAAACACATTTACTTTGCGTCAGGGAAGATTGGTGTTCAGACTGGAGAAATAATATAACTTTATGGATACTTATCGTGCGTGCTGTACAGAATGCGTCAGTTGTAATATATTGATTTGAAGTCCAGGAACAGAAATGTCACTGGAGCAAATGTGGCGACGAGAGTTTTACGGCAAAGCTATATATAGAATCTGAGGAATTTTGAATCCGTCAAAACAAAACGCATCCCAATGTGACGATACAACAGCCAACATCGACAAGTGGTGAGTAGACACGTGACGCTCTTCTCCATTGCAGTGAGCGATGACATGGCGCTCTTCCGCAACGTGACCACTCGCGCACCTGCTGCTTCGGAAAGAGGGTGCCTTTCACTCAGTATCTTCAGAGTGTTTCATGGACAGATCAAGCACGGTTATAGGACTGCAGAAGAGTGTGTTTTATATGACGAGCACCGACGGGAACAGCAGTGGCAGTAGGCACGGTGACTTACCCCCGTCTTCAGAAACGCTCTTCGACTCGACTTTCGCCCGTCACTTGACAGAGCTGAGCACTGCGCCGCTGCTCGGCTGAAAATGATGCTGCGCTACTCAAGAATCGCAGCAGATTATTGCTGATATGCAGTGACTTGCAGTGCCTATAGACAGCGCTCCCATCGGCTTTCTCAAGTGAAGGTGAAGCATTGAGTGAAGGGACGTTTTGAATACGGGGGTCAGGCGTAGGGTCAAGTGATAAGGGTTTTGTAAATTGTTTTAAAACACGTGTGTTCGTGATATGTGTATTTTTCAAGAGCAATGGCGTAATGAGCGCACACCTTGCATGGGATCGCTGTTTTACGAGTCTGGCCAACGTTAATTGTTACATATTTACAACTTCGCTGACCAAGCGCTTCGAAAGGATGCATTGGTGGTATCTTTTGCATTTGTTGATGCCAGCGACTGCTTCGGTAATTCAAGCAGCTGTTAGCACTAAATTGCATGCTGGATTGGGTGAAACGTACATAATTGAAGGTGCTTTGGGGAATGGTGAAAGATGATTTTTTTTCTAATAGTTTGGAAGTCAAATCTGTTCACACAAAAGCTTGGTTAACTTTTAGTTTACCACACCTACACAAGAAAATAAAGATTACATGGTGGTTTGCGACAAGAAGTAGCAGGTAAAAGAACATTTTGCGTAATAACTTCACTGGGCAAAGGTAGCAGAGCGCACACTGATGCGGAAGAATTGAGGCAGACGAGATCCATACAGCTGTTTTGCTATAATGGTCGTTGTGCAGCAAAAGATTACATATTTCTGAAAGTTAATTTGAGCGCGAAAACACGACACGATCACTCACACACGCTCACACTCGTGCATCAAACACGCACAGCGCTGTGTGTGTTTGATGCATGGGTGTGTGCGTGTGTGAGTGATCGTGTCGCGTTTTCGCGCTCGAATGAACTTTTAGAAATGATGTACCAACTAGCCCAACAACAAGTGCTTTCACAATATATATTGCATAAACTGCAAAGGAAAGGTGCAGTCGTGCTGGGGTATCCATGAGTAGTGCATTTAAAGGAGAGAAGAAAACGCCTTACAGATAAACACCTAGCAAGTACGTAAAGGAAAACATATGTTCAATGAGACGACGAACGCTGATGCGTACCTTATCAA